ATCAATTATATATATATATATGTGTGTGTGTGTGTGTGTGTGTGTGTGTGTGTGTGTGTATATATATATATAAAGAATGCCTAGACTTTTAAGCAGGAGGTTCAGGTCACAGGTGGCATGGGCTCCTAACCAGAGCTTAAGGAAAAATACATCCTAAAACCTTGCAAGAAATGCCTTATTGTCACCAAAAACCACTCTAAATCAGAGGCCACATAATTACAAATTCTCTTTGCAGGAACTGGGGAGGGATAAGCAGGATCCACCCACATTAATAAATCCCCCTTTCTCACTGTAGGCCTCACTAGTGTAAGAACCTGTCATTATCCTAAAAGGCAATATTTGATTGATTCTCGACCAGAAAAAAAAATGGTGGCTATTTACTCAACATCACAGAGAATATACAGTAAAGGGGGAAAAGATTTTCTTTTCAAAACCCTACAATCACATTTCAATAACCATGATCCTACATTTATACCACAAAAATGGCTTGATAAAATAACTAAGATTTACTGAGTACTTACAACGTGCCAGGAAACATAGAAAATGCTTTAGAGAAACTTTCCCATTCAATCCTAACCAATCAATCACCTTCTGATAGATCGAGAGACTGAAGTACTAGATAACAGATCTTTTAATGAAATACCCAGTAAGGAATAAGAACAAATTAGTCTGATATGTTTTCTTATGCAGTTACGGATTTAAAAGATTGTGTGCTAACATGATTTGGAGAGCAGTCCAATTTTCTAACTTAGCCTGTTCAATCCTATGTTTATATAAACTCCTGTGGCTTCATCTAGCCCCTCCCCCTTTTATCCTGTCGTCAGTCACTCAGTAGATGTTAGAGAACAGGCATGGCAAAGGTCAGAGGCCTCAAAGTCCCGCTAAGTGCATGTAACAGTGCCTTCATCCTGCCCCCCTGCAGAGATATTTCAATGCTTTAACAATTATTCCTCCTCTACCTCTTAAGCAGATACATACAGTTTACTTGTTTTTCTTCCATTTCAAGGGTATTAATGGAAGACCAGGTTGAGAAGGAGAAGTTTCAGAATGATTTATAAATACGTACTTCATAGAAATGGCTCTACCAGTGAGAAGAGGAAATTAAACAAGGTCATGGCAGGTTAAAGGAACCCCACTCTATTATTCACTAACAACAAGTAAACACAATATACTCCTAATGGGGAAAAACAAAGGTCTTTTCTGTTACACGGGGGCTATTTTAAAAAATTATACACTGAGTTTAACACAAAGCAAAAAGTAACCCTTTTGCAATTACATTACAAGGTCAATCATACTCAACTTTAATAGCACTGCTCTTGGAGTCACCTGCATCTTAGAGGTCTTACAAATGCTGCTACCAGCTCGATGCTATTAGTTCACTGGGTCAGAAAGGGTTTTCTCAAAGCAAAGATTTATTGATGCCTTTCCTAATTAAAAAAATGCAGTAAGGTTCAGCATGTCAGTCCTATGGGGAAATGCCGAAAGGGACAGCACAGAATTTTTAAGCTTCCAAATGCAGTTTCCTTCCAGCCAGAGAAACTGCAACAAGTAACTTTCAATCCTTCACTCTAGTGGAGGAAAGAACCACAGATCATACCAAGTGTCCAACTATCAGCTTCTGAAAGCACCCGCTTTCTCTGCACTAGTAGAGGTGCATCTGGAATTGGGTAACTCACTCTGAACTGTTTCAAAGCCCCGTGAAGGACACAGCTTTATCCCATTTCTGCCAGCAAGATGGCCAAGGAAGGTGATCCTTAGTCCTGCTGAGAGCAGAGAGGGCCCAAATGCAAGGCACCCTGATAGCACAGCAGGGAAGAGGTAAGGGCTGTTCATCAAGGGATAAGTCTGCATCTTCAATCATGTGAGATCATCAGTGGGAGGTGCCCGAGATAGCACAAGGCAGACTGCAGTGCTTGGCTATTATTATTCATTTGCCAGGAAATCAGGAAATTATTGACTGGCATTATTCCTTCACCTCATTCACCTCAGATTGTAATTATATGTTTAGATGCATATTTGGTTAATGTCTGTCTGTTTGTCTGTCTCTTTCTCTCTCTCTGATTAAATTGAGAGGGCAAGAGTGCTATCTTCACCATTACATTCTCCCTCTCCCAGCATCCAACACACTGCATCTCCACCATAGTAAGTGTTCAGGTATCAGTCATTGAGCAAATGCAGGAAATAGAATAAGTGCTACTAGCAAACTGGAAGGCAAGAGTTTGGAGGTAGAGAGCCAACCTAGAGATCATCAGAGTTGTGAAATGAAAAATATGACAGGTTCGTGCTCTGTACAGATTAACACAAAAATAAAGCCATAATCATTATCACTCAACTATGTATCTTTCTAAGATGATATAATGATCTACCACTATGGCAGGAATCTATTAATTTTAAGCCAGAATTGGGCCATTAGCTTTTAATCACAAAGAAATGTAGAATACAAACATTAATATTAAAAACGCTAACAGTGACCTTTCTGTGACAATCTCTGCAAAATCCATGACTAAATTCAGAAAAACTACAGCTGCCATTTCATGGGGTCCACTTATGGAACCCTATACAATAAAAGGCTAATAAAGGCTAATATGCAAATAGATCAAACGGTGGAACAACCGAACAACTGGTTGCTATGATGTGAGCTGACCAGCAGGGGGTGAGTGCGCATGCGGAACATGGCGGCATCGGCAGCAGGCAGCAGAATGTGGAACATGGAGGGCGTTGGCCATGGTGGGATGGTGGAGCAGGTGAGCAGGGGCACCAGACCAAGGCAGGTGAGCCTCTGGTGGTTACTGAAAATTCTTTGCTCCAGCAGTCGCACCCGGGACTCACACCTGCTACCGGCGCCAGCCCTGCTCGCACCTGCTGCCGGCCCCGATCACCCAGCACCACCAGTGGGTGACAGTGGTGGCTGGCCCTGATCGCCCCTCAAGGCTTCTCCACCTCCCCCTGCTCCTGAGGGGCGATTGGGCCGACAGCCGCTTCTCGCACCTGCTTCTGGCACTGGAGCCATTGTTCACACCCACTGCTGGCACTGGCCCCGCTTGCACCTACTGCCAGAGCCCGGCGCCGTCAGCAGGTGCGAGTGGCAGCTGCCAGCCCCGATCACCCGAGGGCTTCTTCACCTCCCCCTGCTGCTGAGGGGCAATCGGGGCAGCAGCAGCCGCTCACACCTGCTGACGGCACTGGCTCCACTTGCACCTGCTGCTGGCGCCAGCCCTAATCGCTCCGCGCCCGTCAGTGGGTGTGAGCGGGGCTGGCACCGTCAGTGCATGGGAGCGGCAGCAGCGGGAGTGGGGCTGCCAGCAGACAGGGAACCAGGGACCGCAGAGGGAGGGGCCAGCCAGGCAGGGGCACAGAGGATGGGCCGAGACCCACCCCTGTGCCCACCACAGCCCACAGTTCCTTTCAAGGTGCACGAATTTGTGCACTGGGCCCCTAGTGTTACAGAATTGTATCTGTTTGCCTGTGTGCTCTTCACTAACTCTGAAAGCGTCTTTTTAAGTTAAATATTTGGAGCTGCAATTTTGCAAAGTCTATAATGCTACCTTGACAAGAAAATGAGGTATTTCTCACCATGGAAACATCTAAACCCAAGCCCTGAGACACCCCTCGTGCATCTTCACCAGAAGGGAAGGTATCTTCTACTACAGGGATCAGGAGCAAGCAGGCACCTTCTCAATCATGCATGCCCCTCCTTCATTATGAAACAGGTATGAGAATTCAGGAGCCATGAAATTAATTATTTTTGGAAAAATATTTTGCTCAATTATTCAGTGCAGAGAATAAACAATTAAATGCTACCCCTCCTCAATCTTCCCAATTCTGAGGAAGACATCCTGTTTGTATCCGGGCCAATTAGAATTTACCATGGAAACAAAACATCAACCAAGAGCTGTTTGCAGACTACTTAAGCCTCAGAGAAGAGCTATATTCACAGGCCTACACTAGCACGTTGCCCTTGAGTTGGGATGTAATATCTGTAGAGCAGAAATTCTGTATCTTACCTTTCACTTCTCATGACCATTAGGACATGTTTTACCTAAGAGTCTTGTTTTCCAGCATCACCTGAAACCCTGACCTGCACACTTCCCTGAGTGGGACACAGGGCTGCTGATCTAAATGAACAATTCTGGCATTGCTGGTGTCCAAATAAACAGGCTGAAATTTGTTCCAAAAGTATCCCAAAGCTATCTCTTATGTCTTTCTATGGTTTCTTTCAATCTGTACACTGCAATTTCTCCTAACTTTTCACTTCAGTTTCTTAGCTGAGCACACTGCCACATGACTTCACATTTAAGAAAACAGTTCATTGTGCCTGTGTTTTCTCTCTTCTTACTGACCATGTGTATTTAGTTTTTAAATTCTGTGTGAAACAATGGGCATATGAACCACATTGTTACAGTTTAATACCTCCTACCCATTACCCCCTCATCTCCAATGTCTAGTATGCCTGATCAACTCTTTCACACCATACCCATTTATAGGAGCAATTCCTGCAATCCAGTAATCTAAACCTCTTATTAGTGTGGTAAGTGTATATATTAAAGAGCAATACACGCCTGAAACTGATCCCTCCACTGGGTACTCACCTTCTTCCTCCTCCTCCTCTTCTTCTTCTCCTTGGCCGCCTGGGCTTGCTTGTGCTCCCAGACCAGGTTGGTGAGGTTGGCCACATACTCATCGGTCTGCTGTAAAAGGTAAGCTAAACGCCTGTCTTTCTTTTGATCAATCAGTTTTCTGTAGCCCTCTTCATCTTCAGCCTGTTAAGGAAAGAAGCCAGATCAGAGCCTAATGACAGTTTGTAGATGCTTTTTCCCCCTCCCCCCTGACAGCCTGAACTCCAGTGGTGAGTGCAGCAGAGCGAATGCTCCAGGCTGCAAGGGTTCCCACACACAGGGAACCGGGCGCACAGGGGAGAGCGATGCCTACATCCTGGGACACCGGGGTTCGCGGCAAAGTCAGGACACATGGCCGCAGTATTTATGTGGCGTGATGGAGCACGCTGTGTCAGCTCTTTGTTCTTCTGTGTTTCTTTAACAGCACAAAAAATGTTAAAATCGGACAATTCACCATCTGAAGTTTATTCTTAACTTTGTATTTTGGAAATTTTCAAATACAATCAAAAGTGGAGAGAATAAGTATTTCTAAAGGCAAGAGAAATCAAATGGGCACTGAACAAATAACTTCTTATACGTAAAAGCATTACACATATTGTGGTTGATAGGGGAGGTCAAATTTGGGGGATTTTTGTCATAACTGGCACTGTCCTTTGGGCCTACGTGACTGGGGACAAGTCAGCTACTACCTGACGTCTGATACTACCCAACAATAACACAGATGCAGTAATTCCCACCTCCACCTACCAGTCAGCCACATTATGAGGTTAAATGGGGTAAAAGCTCTGATATACTCTGTGCCATTTCAGGAGAAATCTTTTTTTTATGTCCCACTAAAAGGACACCTCTTGTGATGCAGGATAGAGAGAACAGGTCGCAAATGCCTCAGGAGGCAGCTGAGTTACAGAAGGGCCCAGCGCCTTCCTCAGGGGTGTCGCTCTAGCCCAGGGGTGGGCAAACTTTTTGACTCGAGGGCCACAATGGTTTCTTAAACTGGACCGGAGGGCCGGAACAAAAGCATGGATGGAGTGTTTGTGTGAACTAATATAAATTCAAAGTAAACATCATTACATAAAAGGGTACGGTCTTTTTTTTTTTTTTTTTAGTTTTATTCATTTCAAACAGGCCAGATCCGGCCCGCGGGCTGTAGTTTGCCCACGGCTGCCTAGCCTGTGCCCGTGTGACAGCAGGCTCACCCCTCAGTCTAGCTGCTGTCGGCCCCGTGGATGAGCACGAACCTCAAATGCTATTAGAACTCTAATTGCTTTTCGTTATGGTTGATCTCACTTGAAGAAAGAGTGATAGAAAACTTCAGTTTCTCTGTTATCTGTATATTCCATCATTTAATTGCAAAAATTAATGATTTGCAAATGCCTAATCATTAGTGTCAAACCAATCTGTTACTGAAGTGCTAATACAGCTTCACTTCGGTTGAATCAGACAAATCTGACTGCCGACTGCTCAGATTCCTCTGAAACAGTCTCCCAAGCTAATTAGACATTTCTTGGGCAGTCTTCTTCTTCCCCCCAAAAGGAGAGGAAGGCGGGAGAAGATGGTAAGATTTAGTAGGACCTGTTTTAAAATATGGTGTTTACTCTCTGGGACCCCAAAAATCAATGAAAACAAAATGCAAACCTTAATCTCAGCGAGGAAGAAAGACACTGTCACTTGGAATTCCCCCAGGACATAATTATGGGCTGAGGCTCATGACTTTCTCTTCATGCAGGACTCAGGAGCTATGTCCCAGACAGAACCTGCAGGTCTCCTAGCACTCCAGATCACACACACTTGTGTAAAACCCACAGTGTTCTATGAGGTCCAATTACAAAAAAAAAAAAAAATGCCGACCAATGAAATCAATCTCTTCTATGATATACATTCACTGAAAAATAACAGTGCAAAAATAATAACCCCTGACTAACCTCTGACAATACCCTCCCGCCGCTATAAACAAAAAGCAACATTTCAAAATTAACGTAACAATCACTTTTTACATTGTTAGAGAAAAATTTCTGCCATAAAAAAAAAGACATCAGGTTCCAAGACACAACCTAATGAGCTAGTCATTCAAAACGTGTGCCATTAGTCTCAAAGAGGCAGTATTTTAAAAAGAACTGCCATTTCCAGCCTTCCAGATCTGGTTATCAAAACTCCCAAGAGATACAGTACCGTCCTTTATGTGAGAAGCTAAATCTGAGCAGCAATGCCATCCTAGGACATGGGAAAACTATACTGACCAGCTGTAACCCAAGATGTGTGACGTGCATTGTCCAGGAAAGAGGCTGTTTGAACTCCATCCGCATGAAGTTAAGGGGACATAGTCATACATTTGGTAAGCAGCTTCTCCTTTCTCCCTCTACTAGGGCATATTGAACACTCCCAATACAGGATGCGAGAGGGGCATTTTCCCGGGCTCCTCACCATCAGTCTGCGCATTCTCTCCTTTTCGATCCGCTCCGTCTCTTTCTTCTGCTCCCTCTCGGTGTTGGCGTGCCACGTTGCCACCGCTTTGGAAAGCTTCTGGATCTTCCCGGCCACAGAACGATGGTACTCCTTGAAATCTTTCGCATGTTGCAAAATGCTGTTCAGGTATTCCTGAAGGATCCCAAGGGGAGTAGAAAAGAAAACTGAAAATCCATTTCCCAAGGCCCGGTAGGCTCCAGCCTAGTCCAGGAAAAACCGCTCAGTGTGCATTTCACAACAACAAAGACCAGAAACCTGGGACTATTCTGGGATAGGTGCCCTCGTGTGTGTCTCCATAGCTGAGTGCGGGCTACCGGGCTGGTGGGAGAGATGACCTCTCAAAGTTTATTTTCGTGCCAGCCTGTGGAAGAGCGGTCTCTGAAGCTTTGACGGTGTGACCGCATGAAAATGGAAAGATAAAAAATGGAGGGGATAAAAAGAAAAAGGAGAGGAACCTGAAAAATGAAAATGATAAAATTAAAAGCCAATCGTTCTCAAATAAACCTGAGGGACATGGGTATATCCAGTGAGAATTATGTTATAAAAGTAATGTTTCCTCTGCTCTGACTCTCTTAGAGTCCCAGCCGAGCAGTTGGGCCTGATACTCCAAAGGTTGCAGGTTTGATCCCCGGTCAGGGTACATGAAAGAAGCAACCAATGAACGCATAAATAGGTGGAACAAAACAATGTTTCTCTCTCTCCCTAAAAAAAGCAATAAAAAAATTTAACTATCTTAGAATTGTGACTCAAGATTTTATAGGAAGCTAAAACTCCATAAGTAATTGGTACATATTTTTTAAATAATGGGGGAGGGGAGTGTACCCTTATGTACACTAACTCTGACATTTTTTAAAAAACGAAACTAGGATAGGCACTAAACTGAGCACAAAAAGACAAATAAATTATAGATAGGCTTAGGAAATTAAATCCTACATCAAAATATTTCCAAACCCCTAGAAAGGAATGTTCCTAAATATCTGCCCCTATAAAACCTCTAACTGGGCCCGTCACAGAGCCCTGGACACCATATTTGTCTGTGTTATTAAAAATAACTCTTTGCTTTCTTCTTTCCAAGTTCCCCAGGATTTTGCTGTGGGAATCCCACCCAGACCGCAGCTTTCCAGGGGAGTAGGAAGGTGACACCTGATTGGAACAAAGAAAGCCCAAGTCACCTGGCCTAAGTGTCCCCGACTACACAATGGAGACTATGTGAGCTCCCAGGGACTTTTCTGCTCTGTGATGCCCCCTCCGCGCACCGCGCACGTTTCCAGCCCTTCTGCTCCAGCCTGTTACTGAGTTGGACGTGTCTGTAAACACGAGGACAGGCAAAGCCAGGCCGTGGTACCTGGTGCTTCTGCCGGCGCTTCCTCTCCTGCTCGATCTTCTGCTGCTTCTCCAGCTTCTCCGTCATGCGGGCTTCCCTCAGGGTCTGGCGCTTGCTCCGCTTGTATGCTTTGGAGTTGAGAGCCGTCTCCAGAGTCGTGTCCCGCCGCATGCAGGCCACCACCTCCTGCCTCAGCTGCAGGAGGAAAGCAGTTAGAGAGGCTCCCTGAGCAGTGGCCAGACCCCTGACCCTCTCCTTCTCTCGTTTCCCCTGAGTGGGGCAGAAGGGGGATTCTACAGGTTTCTCACTCACAGTTGGCCTTTTTAGTAAATAAAGGGACTAAATCATACCAAATTTATGTGGCATGGCTTTTTAAGATGGTATAGCTTTTCTTTACAAATAATTCAAGAAAAAAAGCAATTATAGCATTACAACATTAAAAAAAATAAAGTAGATATTTTAAATAAAGTTATTCATCCTATTTAATTATTCCAATGATACTAATTAGTTAATAAGATTTAATTTTTTTAAAACTTTGTCTTAAATGCCATACTAACGGGCTCCTCGTTTTTAAAAAGATTAACTTTAATGATGCTCTGCAAAATGAACAGAAGGATTACTTCCTGTTCATGGACAATGGCAGCAGATACTCAAACAGTGTTAATTCATAGTCTCATGTAAAAGACAAGAGATACAAGTTTGGGCTTCTTCCCAATTCTAACAATGATATTCTTTGAAAGATATTCAAAGTTTAAACTATATCATGAACTTTTTTTAGGGTGATCATAAGTATAATAACTTATCCATTTTGTATGTTATGTGGTGATAGAGGGGGGAAATTGAAAATATACATCAAAATAATAATTCAATTGAATCTGAAATCAGCATGAATTACAGCTCATTTCATTGGGAAACTTCTTAGATAATAGAATTTTTCAATAATATCAAGTAAAAATCAGAGACTAATAAGAGTCTAGCATAGTGAAGCTAATTTGAATATAATGTTATTCCTAAAAATATACTTCAGTAATATTTTTTAAACAAAATCTTATCAAACACTTTATCAATGCATTTTATGAAGTCACCTATAAGAAGGAAGAAAATGGAACTCAGAGACGTTTTCTTTCTTTGCTTTTTTTTTAATTTCTAAATTTTTTTTTTTAAGTTCTAATCTACTCTCACAAACCTATGACCAAGCAGCACCCAGCCACACTGATGTCCCTTGGTGATATTATAACCAACTAGAGGCCCAATGCACGAATTTTTGTGCAAGAGTAGGCCTTCCTTCCCCCAGCTGCAGGCACTGGCTTCCCTCTGGCATCCGGGACCCTGACTGGCTTCCCTCAGGGCCACCCGTAGGCACCAGGGACCCGGGCTCGCTTCCCTCCAGCCCCAGCTTTGTCAGGAAGGATGTCCGGAATGACGTCTGGAAGATGTCCAGTCTATGAGCATATTACTCTTTTATTATTATAGATAAGGCAAATGTACTCCCAAGGTCATATGACAATAGCAAGTGAGGTGGCCTTGTGATTTTAATCACATCCTCCAACAGACCAAGTCATGCAATTCACTTTCATTCATTAGTAACTCATTTTGCATGCCCTAGGACAGTGATGGCAAACCTTTTGAGCTCGGCATGTCAGCATTTTGAAAAACCCTAACTTAACTCTGGTGCCGTGTCACATATAGAAATTTTTTGATATTTGCAACCATAGTAAAACAAAGATTTATATTTTTGATATTTATTTTATATATTTAAATGCCATTTAACGAAGAAAAATCAACCAAAAAAAATGAGTTCGCGTGTCACCTCTGACACGCGTGTCATAGGTTCGCCATCACTGCCCTAGGACCTTAACCAAGCAAACCCATCTGACTGCCGGCAAAGTGCCCCTTTTTCCGTTTGGCTAAATGAGGCAGCCTGCAGACCAGGAGACCTGCAGACAGGGTCCCTAAGACAAAACTCACCAAAGTTAAAATTAGCTCTATGTCATTCCACTGGTGTCCTACTGACTTAGCAATTCTAAAGCAGATCATTATGCCAGTGTTTATTAATCAGTGACTACTATGAACCATAGCAGGAACAATAGATAATAACTCATTGGTTACTCAGTGCATAGGTCTGACAGGATCAAATGCACCAAACTTGTGTTGTGGTGAATAATCAAGTTACAAGACACAGGTTTTATATATTTCTATAAATGCTGGACTATTAATTTAGCAGAGTGGCTATTGTCTTTGTTAAAATATGTTCCTGGTCATGCTAGGACAGTGATGGCGAACCTTCTGAGCTCGGCGTGTCAGCATTTTGAAAAACCCTAACTTAACTTTGGTGCCGTGTCACATATAGAAATTTTTTGATATTTGCAACCATAGTAAAACAAAGATTTATATTTTTGATATTTATTTTATATATTTAAATGCCATTTAACAAAGAAAAATCAACCAAAAAAATGAGTTCGTGTGTCACCTCTGACACGCGTGTCATAGGTTTGCCATCACTGTGCTAGGATTATACATTTGTGCTTACAAAGAAGCTCTCATCTACCACGTGATTGTTTTTCTTGGGAGTCATAAAGGCAAACACGAGCTATCTCATTTGTTCTCAAGGTTTCGTCCACGGTAACAAATCGCCATAACTCTGACTTTGTAAACCATCCTGCAGGTGGGAAAAAATGTATCTGATACACAGGCGAGAAAAACAGAATAATAAGCAGTTCGTCTTCAGTGCTTTTAGCTCTCTGCTGCTGGTCTGAAAGATACACGGTGTTACTAAGTTTCTATCTTTATAACAATATTGAAGAGACTTGAGGAAACACACCGATCTCCAACAATTACATTCATTTCCTCCGCCTCAGATTTGCTGGGGAAAAGGTAATACCTGACGTTGGAAATTGAGTAACCGAAGTGCTTTCAGTTCCACAGTTGCTTTGGTGCGTAAATCTGGTGGCAAAGACCCCGGCAGGTTTTCCAGTTCTTGTATCCTGTGAGCTATGCGAGCCTGAAGCCTAAGGGAGATAGTAAAACGGGCGGGAGAGATGGAAATATACATTACAGTTCAGTCTTAAATGACAAACAGTAACACTAGGTTCAAGTTCATGGCAAAACCTATCCCAGACACTCATGGCTGATTTCTGACACCCAACCAGATTTTCTGATGTTAAACAGAGAAAAGCCACCCTTGCATTAATGCAGACAGGTGCTATATGTTGCCTAACACTCTGGTCTTGGACATAACCTGTCTCTAACACCCAGGAAAGGAGGCTCATGATACATGTAGGAGGAACATCAAGTGCCACTGCTCTGAACAGAGAGAGAAAATGAGAGGCAGGAAATTCTGACTTGCTCCAAAAAGCCCAGGCGGCCACTGGCAGGCGGGCTGAAAGTCTCCTTTCCAACTTCTGGTTCTGTCCTACGGCAACGGGGCCATCTGCCCGCCTTGCCAAGATGCTGATGACGACGGCCTTTAAAGCCGAGTGAACAAGAGCACTTGTAGATGCTGAGGCCACAGAAATCGGCCAACCCAAAACATTCAGAGAGAGCCCTGCCGACCACAGCCACTTCCTCTCTGAGCAATGCTTGCTGGGGGAAAGAAAAGGCAACTTAGGCGTTTTTAAAAATCAGGTTTGGGGCAGCAGCAACCAGCAAAGTAAACAGTATTTAAAAACTGGGAGTTTCTAGAAAAGGACTGCTGGGGATTCTCACTTTAGACACTATCAAAAATATAACTGCAGGTAATTCCTCATGAGGGAAAATAGGAGACATCCCACTATCTTCATTCATTTGGGATACCAGGACTGTTACTCACAGAAACGCCTGGTTCTAGAGTTCACCTGGATTATTTTTTTTTGCAAATAATTATATGCCATTTAAATCTATTTTGAGAACTATCTTCCCCAAAATTTGGGGCAAAACTGTCTTGGAAGAGACTTCAAAAGAAAGAATAGTAATAAAAAAGGCAGTAAGCTAAACTAAGTTAACATGAACTGCACTGCGTTAAGTACATTTGATGCACAATTTTATATAATTCCCCCCCCCCTCTCTCACCCACACACACACACACACACACACACACACACACACACACACCCCTCAAGGTATAATGGTGCTGTTACTGATGGGAAAACAGAAGCCTGGCGATGTTAAGAAACACGTTGACTTCAGAGCTAATAAAGGAGGTCTCTAGACGGAACCTCCTTTGCCTGACACTAAACCATCACAGGGTAATTAAAATAGACTTTCTAGCTGAGAACTTTCCTGGATCTCAACTATAAACGTTGATCATTTAAGATTCTGTTAAAAATTAGTATTATGGTTTCATCAACTTTTACGATGATGTGTGTGTGTGTGTGTGTGTGTGTGTGTGTGTGTGTGTATGAATATGAAGAAGTAAAATCTGTGACTTAGATGTGCAAAATATCTTAGGATTTCATATGGTCCAAATATCAAAATGATTGTTTAAAAAAAACACAAAAAACAACTTTGTTATTTGCCTTGGTAGAGAAGTAAAATGTCCTCTTTTTCAAAATTTTAATGATAATAAAGGAAATGCATTGTTTTTCATTGATTTAACTGAAAATAATATAACAGATTCCTACTTTATTGTATCCAGATCAATTTCCTAAATAGCCACATAGCCCCAAATCTCCAAATACTGCAACAGATGATGCATCTTAACAATTAAGATATTAAGAGAAAAACCTTTTGTGGATTTTTTCAAATATATAATTTAAAGGAAGTAACTAAACTGAAACAATTTCCCTTTTGTAGAATAAGGCCGTAGTAAAAGGAAAATTAAATATAAAGGGGTGAGATGAGGGCCAATGATGGGGTATTCTCCTTCCTTGGTTCTAGAGTCATTTCAGACCTTTTGCATTTGAAAAGCCCAGAACCCAAACCATCCCCTGCTGTTCTGGTTTACTCTCTTTGACAAAGTGGGTCAGGTGCTAAATTAAAGGAATAGCTGTGTTTCCCTTAATCTTCTGAAGAACTAAATAAATAATCTTAGGACAGCTGGACGGACAGTGTAGAGATTAAATCACACTGATCTGGGCGGGTGGGAGCTGGGGAGTGGAGGGGGGAAGAAGGGAGGTGGGGACTGGGGGTGGATGAGGCCTTGGGTGACTGGGGCACTGCAGTGGGTGAGGAGCTGGGGTAGTGGGCCGGGGGGAGAGAGAATGACACTTCTTCCTGAAATGACTGCTCCTTTCCAAAGGACCTAGTCACTTGTCAGTGAATCTCAGATTCCCCAGCACAAAAGAATCTCTTTTTTATGAAAGGGAGGCAAGAAGTACAGAGTACAAACGTGCGAAGTATAGGGGAAGGGGAGGGTGACATTATATGCATTCAATTCAGCACGTGGGGGTGGGGGTGGGGGCCAAGGTACAGGAGGGGCTTCTTTAACACAGAAAATGTTGTCTTTTGGTGGTGGTGGTTGTTAATGGAAATCTTCATTTTAAATAATGCTTCTCTCCAGACAATTTCATCTTCCTATCAATGGGATTCAGCAGGTTGCCCGATAAAGAGATTCAGGATTCTCAACTTGTCGAAACAACAAGAGCTGTAATACTGCCTGACTGCAGGAGGCTCATTTAGTGTCCTCACGAGCTCAGAAAATTGAAGCAGAATTAGGTCACTCAAGTTTTTCATACAGATTGAACAGTAAATCAGGAAGGGTGACTGTTCTGGCAAGAAAAAGAGTTCCATTAAAGGCAACAGATATTTTGTTCAGGTCCAGAGGAGAAGTTTATGATTCCTGCAGGAGAGTTATTTGAACAGAAAATGACACTGGTACATTTTGTTCCTGCAAGGAGCTGAGTGACACTTTTAAAAAGAGAGCGAGGGAGGGAGACCGACTTTTTGTAACTCTGCTGATAAAGTGGCCCTTGGTAATTTTTGAGAAGGAATTTTCAGGGTTGTAATGGATACCAGGGAGGACAAAAAGAAAAAAAAAACACCCAAAAAACATTGGCTATATTTGCTTCCAGAAGCAAAATTCTGCCTTGATAAGCAGAGGGCTGATAGAACACAGAAATGCTCTTCCTTCAAATCTGAAATCCATCTCCCATGCAAACATTTGTGGAATTAGTTTACATGCTAATGTGACAATGCCTGGAGCCCTTTTGCCCAAACATCTAACTCTCAATGGAGGAACTGAAGTTAGGTATATTGGCGGGGCAAAGGAAGTGTGCCAAAAAGACAAGACACCCAGACGAAAAGCACTGGGACATCTCTCTGACACTCACTACGGAGAAAAGCAATAAAGTTCCTTTCAAAGAGAAAGGCTCCAATTCAAATGGGCAAACTGTTTTAACTGGAGACTTTGTACAGATCTGAGGCAAACTATTCACATGCATACACTTATTTACGCTATTACTGAATAAAGAAGGCCAATTTGTCAAAATCCTTGCATGATGAACAAGGAAAAGCAGCCAAGGGACTTAACGTTAAAAAAAATTTAAGATTCTGACAATTTCCTTTCAATTTTCATAGACAAGATAAGTGATATCATAACGGTCAAAGAAATGAACATCTGTTAAAGAATTTTTGACAGATGACTCTGCTCAAACTAAAGTTTATAAAATTGTAAAAGAGATTTTTTGTTTGTTAATCCTCACCCGAGGATTTTTTTCCCCATTGATTTGTAGAGAGAGTGGAAGGGAGGGAGAGAGAGAAAGAGAGAGAGAGAGAGAGAAAGAGAGAGAGAGAAACATCGATGTGAGAGAGACATATTGATTGGTTGCCTCCCACATGGGCCCTGACCAGGGTCAGGGGTCAAGCCTGCAACCGAGGTCCTACAACCGAGATCCTGCAACCGAGGTACGTGCCCTTGACTGGAATCGAACCTAGGACCCCTCAGTCTGAGAACCGATGCTCTAACCACTGAGAAACCGGCTAGGGCTACAATGGATATTTTTAAGACCTTGCTCAAATCCTTGATCAGAAGGTACAAGTACACTGGGCCCTTCCAGTTACCAATGCTAAGGCTAAGTAGGCCATTCTCTCCAAGAGGGGCAAGTGGAAACGCCTCCAAGCTGTCTTTACAAGGGCCCAAGGGTCTTAATCTACCCTTTTTAAGAGAAAAATTTTACTAATCTCGGCAGGTGAACAATTTATCTTCGTATCGGCAGAAACCAGCTGTTGTTCTATAAGGAAGCTAGAAGATGCCCCTGAGATGCAGCAGGTGCAAACCTGTGCCCCTCAGGATGGCCATGGGAAACTCAGTCCAAAGGCCCCTCCAGCTGTCTGGACCCAGGGTTGCCAGATCAATCATTTCAAAAGCCACGAAGCCTCACAAACAAGGAGACATGTGTCAAGTCATAATACTATGAAAAACAGCCATTCCACCACACTCTACAAGGCATACAGTTTAAGAGATACTGACAGATACATTATTTTTTTTATTACTATAGGAGTGAAGGACAAAAGCTTTTCTTATGTTGGAATAGGCTAAATAGTACTCTTAATGCTGTATACCTATTAAGATCACTTCCACCTATTAAGATCACTTCCAAAAAAGGTGCTAAAATGAGCTCAGTACAAGAAAGGTCTGTAATTAAAATCCTGGTGAAAATGAAAGAAAAATTAGGAGCCAGTAAGACACACACACACACACACACACACACACACACACACACACACACACAAAACAGGTTGAATAAAGAAAAAAAATACAGATGCAATTCTAGATACAGAGAGTATCTCTGATGTTATGAAGGTAATTCACACACACACACACACACACACACACACACAAAACAGGTTGAATAAAGAAAAAAAATACAGATGCAATTCTAGATACAGAGAGTATCTCTGATGTTATGAAGGTAATTCACATGACTTAACAAAGGTACTGGTAGGTTTGTGCCTTCGGGGTAGGAAAAAAATGTTCACTCTTAGGAAGTCAGAATTTTAGAGTAAATGATACTCTCTATCCCATTTACTGTCTTTTAAAAATTGCTTTTGATTTTTTATAGCAACATAAAGGATTGTACATAAATATAGTTTTTCTGTCCAAGAAATATTTGCTAATATTTGACCTTATAATACACAGCAATTATTCACCCAACAAAACCAGCCTATGAACACTGAAATAGCTACAGATGATGAACATCTAGCTCCCCAGGGATACATGAAATGCTGGAAACAGCAACATAAAAGCTCTTAATTGAGGATTAGCAATAGTAATGAGACTACAGTTACACTCTTCATAAAAAAAACAACAACAACTGCACACATTTAACGGCAAGTTACTGTGGTTTCTTTCAGGATAAGTCTCAAAGCTGATAGCTTAGTATTTTAATCTAGTAATGAATAAGTCATGCGTTTTTCAATAAAGTTTAAGGTAATGTTTGAAAAGGGAGCCTATTACATTGTTACTAACATTCTCTGTAATTTTTAAACTCTAATTTTCTGTTCAATTAAATCATTTTGGGGAAATAATACTAATAGCTAATATGTATTAAACGTCTTTGTGTCATTTTATCTTCTCCCACAATAAATCCTCGAAGATCCTCTTTTAACAAATGAGGAAATTAAGTTGCAGAAAAGAGATGGAACTAGACCAAGGCAACACAGCTAGAAAGTGACGAGCATGATTTTTGCTAACTCCAGAAACCATGATCTGAGCTTTGCTTTCATTTGACTCAGTGCTTATTGGTCTCCCTTTTGGTTAACATTAACCATGTACATGAGGGGTCGGCTAACAATGGCCTGTGGGCCAATCCTGCCCATAGCCTCTTTTTGTAAATAAAGTTTTTTTGGAACACAGTCAGCCCATTATCATCTGGGCTGCTTTCTCACTCAAAGGCAGAGACGAGTAGTTGTCAAAGAGATCATATGGCCCTGCAAAGCGTAAAGTATTTACTACCTGGACCTTTACCGAGAAGGTTTGCCAACTCCTGATTTAGATAAATGTGCCAAATCAGGTGAAAATTACGTTTCTGGAGGAAGAGTTTAAAGGACCCCATATGAAGACACTTACATAGGGCTTACTCCTAACGTTGGACCAAGGCATAGACCAAGTGCTCCCTTCAGCAGCACATATACTAAAAAGGCATAGACCAAAATAGTGCATGAATTTAAGCAAAAAATATATTATACCTACCAAAGTGTACTTTAGTATCATGAAGGTCAGGCCAACACAAAACACTCAACATCTGACCAACTTGCAGTCACCAATCAAGGACAAGCTGGCAAACTAGATCAGGCACCCCATAATCTGTGTGAGACAACCACTTATGTTCACATCCCCAGCACCTAACACGGTGCCTGACACGTCATAGGGGTTGGTAAAGGTGTCCTGATTAAATGAGTGAAAATCACAGAGCTGCCAACCCAGAGCCATCGGAGAGCCCCCCACCACAACCACCTCCCCACCCCACTTTGCTGAAATCATTCCCATCGCATGAGTTTTGGCCTCTGCAATCATCCTTGGGCCTTTCCCTCAACCATAGAGAGGAGCAACTAAAGCCCTGGGAGACTGCATCCACCCCCAGGCTCGGTGAGACTTGTAAGAACCCCCGGAACGGGATGCATTACCTATATTCCCGCTCCTGCAGAATCTCCACGGGGTCCAGGCCTTGCGGTTTCTGAATGGGGCTGATCCGGCTCTGCTTCTGCTGCAGCTGCAGGAGGGGCGAG